AAGCAGCCCCCTCACCCCCCCCCCCCCCCCCCCCCCGCATTTGGTCATAGCAATAAGTGAGTGGCCATTTCTTATTATTGCTACAAGTCTCTTGGTAATGGGCCTGTATAGAGAGGCAAGTATAAATATGTGAGAACCTGATAAATATCTAGTAAAGTAAAATTTACTATAATTTTGGAAGCACTGAGAAAACACTTCCTTGGCTAAACTTTATATACATGTGGGGGCTACATTTTCAAAATACCCTGCGCTTGAGTTCTAAATTTGCACACCTGATTTTTTACAAGTCTCTTGGTAATGGGCCTGTATAGAGAGGCAAGTATAAATATGTGAGAACCTGATAAATATCTAGTAAAGTAAAATTTACTATAATTTTGGAAGCACTGAGAAAACACTTCCTTGGCTAAACTTTATATACATGTGGGGGCTACATTTTCAAAATACCCTGCGCTTGAGTTCTAAATTTGCACACCTGATTTTTGTGCACACATTTTTGTGTGCTCAGGTTTTTGCATGCACCCCCCCCTCGCATCACCGAAAGCAAATCTGAGTTTTAATGTTCAAAAAATTGGGTGACTAAAATAGTACACAAGTGTGCAAATTTAAGTGTGCATGTTTAAAAATGTTGTATTTTAAATGTGGCCCTAAATGTACCCGAAAACTTAAAAATGATGCTCAGACAATCTGGATACTGCAAAGGAAAAAAAATTAACATTTTCCATAATATCAAGCTGATAGGTCAAATGTCCAGTGAAATAACATTTTTACACCCCTTAAGTTTTGTGAATAATTTTTGATGTTGCTGTAGGTATGTACAAATAGAAAAAATAAATACTGTAAATAAATAAAAAGTACTTTACCAGAATACTACACTTTTATTGAATTTTATGAAGAAAATATATATTTAATTTTTTTTGATGTTTTTAGCTTTACAGACTTGCAAATTTTAGTTGGAGATTCAGACAACACTGGAAGGACAAGAGAAAACAATCCACTGTGTGAGTGAGCCAAACCCTACTAGCCTTACTCAGGTAAGGTCTCCCACTAAATCCAGGGATTCCTTGCAAGAGTAAAGCAAGCAGAATTTATTCCATCATGGTTTTTCTTTCTCCTGGGTCCCCGCTGCACAGATGTCCCTGATTCGTGTATTTATATGGTAGAAATGAAGGAAGCCAGAAAATTGTTGTGTGTGTGTTTTTTGGCCCTTTTCTTGTTTTCCACAAATATTTTATGTCCTGATCACAGCCCACCATTCCACCTGTGTGAAGTGTCATTACAGTTGAAAGGGGTATGGCGAGTGGAACAGATGTCAAGGCACATGGGTGGAGGCACAGAAATAGAGTCCTTGGCAAACATGTTCATGAGCAGGATTATTTGTAAGTCGTCATGAATTTGAAACACATTAGAGACTATTTGCAAAAATCAAATTTTGAACTTTTAAGTTTGTATTTGTATCCAAATTGGATACAGTTGTGCTTAACCTGTCAAGGAACAGATTCAGTGCAGTCAAAGCTAACCAGCATACCTTACATTATAAAAACAGCATGCAGTGATATAGTCAAGACAGTCCCATGGTATCAAAGACAAGGAGGGTGAGGTAATATTTACTGGACCAATTACTATCGCTGAACTAGACAAACTTTCAAGCTACAGCGTTCTTCTTCAGGTTTGTGATAGTTACTGAGTGTCACAGCTAAATACAAAACCCAACAGACTGTTTGCATAAGCAGTTAGCATGCATTCTAAGGCAGTGGTTTTCAAGCTACGGGAGGAATGCTAGGAATGCCTCCTAGGAGCCAGACCTGCTGCTGCCTGTTTCCAGGGTGCAGAGAAGTTGGCAGGGCCAGGACAGGCAGGAATCTTTTCTTAGCACCCTTTTGTGCCACTGACCAGGAGCTGCTGGAGGTAAGCCTATACTCAAACCCTGAACATCAATCTCCAGCCCTGAATCCTCCCCTTGCACCCAAAATTCCTCATTCCTGGACCCATACATTAGACCAAAGATATAATTATGTTGGGTCACAGGCATCAACAATTTTTTCGTCTTAAGAAAAAAGTTTTTAAACTAATGTTCTAAGGGGCCATTCAAGGTAAAGGGGCCCAATAGCACCTCTGGGAGCTGGCTAGGTCCGTCCCGCAGCACACTGGTTCATCATGGTGCAGGTTGGTCTGCGGGCCATATGTTCCCCACCCGTGGGTTACAGATCATTGATCATCATCAACCACCATGGGCTCAATACCTGTTGGTGTCCGATGCTTCCCTCACTGTTTCCTTCCATCTTTCCCTGTCCAGTGCAGGGTGGCTTAGTTTCTGTAGACAAGCTCTGCACCAATCTACTATCTCCAATGTACCCATTCTCTGTAGGGTTGGCCTCTCCTATTCGGACCATCCATTATGCCGAATACCAGTCTTAATTTTTCACTCATTGTTCATTCTGCAGATCTGCCCGAATAGCTGCAACTTCTGTTGTATAACCTTCTGCAGTAGGTTCTCTTTCGGCTGTATTTTCCTATAGAATTCCTCGTTGGTGACCTTCTGCACCCATCCTATTCTCATGATCTTATCATTGATATCCTTCAACAGCCGTATCAGTCTACTATTGTTGGAATCTATTATGTGTGTCAGAGTTTGTGCAATTGTCTGTGCGTGTTTGTTCTAGAACTTCCCCCTAAATGGTAAGAGCTTGGACCACCAAATTCAGTCTGCAGCTTTACAACTTAAACCTAGGTACTGGTTTGATTGTGTCAGGAAAATGGAATGTGCCCAGAAAGAAACTGCTGCTCATAAACCCAAGGACTGTGTCTAGACTGGCAAGTTTTTCTGCAAAAGCACTTGCTTTTGCGGAAAAACTTGCCAGCTGTCTACGCTGGCCGCTTGAATTTCTGCAAGAACACTGACTTCCTACTGTCTGAAATAAGTGCTGCTTGTGGAAATACTATGCTGCTCCCATTCGGGCAAAAGTCCTTTTGCGCAAAGCTGAGATTTGTTTTGCACAAAAAAGCCCCAATTGTGAAAATGGCCATTGGGGTTTATTGCACAAAAGTGCGTCTAGATTGGCACGGACGCTTTTCCGCAAAAGCACTTTTTGTGGAAAAGCGTCCGTGCCAATCTAGACGCACTTTTGTGCAATAAACCCCAATGGCCATTTTCACAATTGGGGCTTTTTTGTGCAAAACAAATCTCAGCTTTGCGCAAAAGGACTTTTGCCCGAATGGGAGCAGCATAGTATTTCCACAAGCAGCACTTATTTCAGACAGTAGGAAGTCAGTGTTCTTGCAGAAATTCAAGCGGCCAGCGTAGACAGCTGGCAAGTTTTTCCCATTTAGATGCACTTTTGCGCAAAAAATCAAGTTTTTTCCAGAAAAGCGGCTGATTTTCTGGAAAAACTGGCCAGTCTAGACACAGCCGGGCTGTTAAGGACTAGCCAACTAGTCATTCTCTCCTCCCCCCCACCCCCCAATCCCCATCAGATAGAAGCAGCAAAGGTGAGGAATAGGGGTATTTCAAAGGGGCAGTGCTGCACAGCT